TAGAGAAAAATCTCTTTTCAACTAAATTATTTCTAACCACTAAAATTTGACCCCTTTTGTAGTAGATAACTTAACATATATAGTTATAAAAGAGGGATATTCTTTTTTTTTCTTTCCTTTTGAGGTTTTTTTTTTCATTTATTTTTATTAGTTGGAGGCTAATTACTTTACAGTATTGTAGTGGTTTTTGCCATACATTGACATGAATCAGCCATGGATTTACATGTGTTCCCCATCCTGAACCCCCCTCCCACCTCCCTCCCCACCCCATCCCTCTGGGTCTTCCCAGTACACCAGCCCCGAGCACTTGTCTCATGCATCCAGCCTGGGCTGGTGATCTGTTTCACCCTTGATAATATACATGTTTCGATGCTGTTCTCTCTGATCATCCCACTCTCGCCTTCTCCCACAGAGTCCAAAAGTCTGTTCTGTACATCTGAGTCTCTTTTTCTGTCTTGCATATAGGGTTATCGTTACCATCTTTCTAAATTCCATATATATGTGTTAGTATGCTGTAATGGTCTTTATCTTTCTGGCTTACTTCACTCTGTATAATGGGCTCCAGTTTCATCCATCTCATTAGAACTGATTCAAATGAATTCTTTTTAATGGCTGAGTGATATTCCATGGTGTATATGTACCACAGCTTCCTTATCCATTCGTCTGCTGATGGGCATCTAGGTTGCTTCTGTGTCCTGGCTATTATAATGAGTTTTTTTAATTGAAATATAGTTGATTTGTAATGTCTTATTAGTTTCAAGTGTACAACACAGTGATTCAGTTTTTGTATGTATATATACATATATGTATGTATGCTTCTTTTTCAGATTCTTTTCTTTTATAGGTTATTACAGAATAATTAGTATTGTTCCCTGCACTATATAGTAGGTCCTTGTTGGCTATTTTATATATAGTGGTGTGTATATATGTTAATTCCAAACTCATAATTTACCCCTCCCTCCTTCTGTCCTTTTTGGTAACCAAGGCTTATTTTCTATGTCTGTGGATCTATTTCTGTTTTGTAAATAAGTTCATCTCTACCTTTTTAAAAAAATATTCCACATATAAATGATATCATGTGATATTTGTCTTTCTCTGACTTACTTCTCTTAGTATGATAATCTCTAGGTCCATTCATGTTGCTGCAAATGGCATTATTTCATTCTCTTTTATGGCTGGGTAATATTCCATGAACATGACTTACCAACTGAGCAACGCCAACAGTATTCCTTGGTATATATACATATCACGTCTTTGTCCACTCGTCTTTCAGTGGGCATTCAGGCTGCTTCCATGTCTTGGCTATTATGACAGTGCCGCAGTGAACACTAGGGTGCATGCATGTTTCTGAATTATAGTTTTCTCTGGATGTATGTTTAGGAGTGGATTTATAGGATCATATGGTAACTCCATTTTTAGTTTTTTAAGGAATTTCCATATCATCTCCGTAATAGTTACTAAAAGAGAAATTTTAACAAGGATTTCACTCATGATTAAGAATTGGTATTCTTGAGTTTCTGCATAATTTCCTTCTGTATCATACTCACTGTCCAAGGGCTGAGGCCGGCTGCTGTTGATTGCGAGAGCACGGGACAGGCTCAAGAGGCTGTGGACTTCCTGACTCGGGCTGAGAGCTACAGCGGGCAATGCCAGCCACGTTCGTCTGGAAAGAGAGGAAGCTCTGTGGTCAAAAGACACAGCCCACAGCATTGTTTAACCATTAAGGGAGAAAAAGGTGCACCATTTTCTTCAGGTGTATTTGTTAAGCTCTGGGTCCCCTTCAGAGCTTCCTATGATATGTGGAGATGGAGGAAAGGGAAAATGGAGAGGGAAAAAGATCTAAATGTATTTTAAATAATTTGATTCAAAAGGGAGCTACGTTCTAAACCCTTAACACCAGTGCGTTAGGCCATTTAGATATTTAGTCTCTATGCTGGTGCCTTTTGGAGAGACTGCACAGTAGGTTGCTGGTTTGGAAAGGTGGGTAGGAATTGGAGAGCTCAAAGAGGGTAGCTTCCTACCTCACCAGGTTGTCAGGTGAAGCGTCAAAGGGAACCGGATTTTAGGAAGAGAGCCACACTCAGGTTGCCCATCCCCGCTTGGGCTTGCTGTCTCAGCATAGCTATTAATAGTGCTCTGTTTGATTCTCAGTGTCCTGTGCGGACGGCCGCCCTTGTTTCAGGTCAGAGTGGAGAATATCAGCGTGATGAATGGAGGATGCAGAGAGCTCAGGGCAGAATTATGAGGGCAATTCTGCTCAGGGTTTTCCTTAAAAGGCTTCTCATGCTTTCTGAAATGCCTCGCAGCCCTTTCTTCTGACGCACTTCTCATCATCAGTTTATTTTTCTTTGGTGCAGCTTCTGACGGGGCCAGTGCATCTCAGCACAGTCTGGATTTCTGTTAGACTAGTGGGCAGCAGGACTGCATGCATGTGAGATTCAAGTCTGAACAGATTGGCTGTGAATGGGGCGATAAGAATAGAGAGAAGCACACAGCAGTAGACCAAACTTCCTGTGCACCGCCTTGGAATACTGTTTCACCATCTGAAATAGCATTCATCTTAAGGCTGGGCTCATTTATTCCCTCTGGAATTAAGCAATAGCACTGGCAGCAAAAGAGACTATTTTGGGAAGGAGAGGTAGGAGGAATTTTGCCATGAATGACAGACGGGGCAGAAGTGCCTTTCATGCTTTTGAGGACTGCACTGTTCATTAGCAACCTGATTAATAGAAATCGACAACTTTCCTATAATCCCAAACGCAATGAATGTCAAGGCATACGCACTGTCCTCTATGAAGATTAGCAAAGACTGAGTTTAGATGCTTTGACTTAATTTACCTACACTGCAGAAAGAGGAATTTTCCTTGGAGATTAGCCTCTAATGCAGATGCTCTTGAGCAGGGATAAATTATAACATCTTGTCCCTATCCCCTTCCTCACTTATGCCTTCCAGTCGTTTTTGCTTATTCCCATGCAGACTTTTCTAGATTGTTAGAGAAGTTTAAAATGAGGCAATGAATGCTGTGCCAAGCCACCCCCCGACTCCACACACACACTGTCTCCCCACAAGGCCAAGGTGGGTAGGGCTTGGCAGCTGGCGGCAGCTGCAGAGATAAATAAGCGCCGGGACTCCTGGATGCACAGGGTGCAGAAGCTCCTGCGATGAGATCGTGCAGCCGAGCGCCTTCCATGGGACGCGGCCATGAGGACGGAGCTGCAGCTGGAGTCCAGAAGTTCAGGCAGTGAAAGGGAGGTGCGGCTTGTAAGAACCAGTTTAATGGTCCTTTTGACCGTGTCGTTGCGTTTTTGGAGTGTGGAGAGTACTTAGGAAGACAGATAAAAGTCATTTCATGCTAATTTGTCATTTAATGGATATATTTAATGAAAACCAGGGAATTATGTTGGCCTTTTCCTATTTGATTTTCTTATGTGATATTCTTCCACTAATAAAGAGTAAACTGCCTTCAGAATTTCATCTCTACAGATTTGCTGTAAGATATTAAAAGCAATAGCCCAGGGCTACTTAACATTTTTCTCTTTTGTTACTGGTAACCAGTTTGGAAAATGTTTCTCTGTGGAAGACTTTAGAATCCTCTTTTCAATGTGGTAGGTGTAATGACAAGAGGTTTTTTTGCTATTTTATTTTTTTCTTTTCACTTTGGCAATTGAGCTAATGTGAGAGAAGATGTTGAGTTTCCTTATCCCAACAGTGCTGTCTAGGTTTATGATAAGCATTTTGTAAATTATATCCCCTTGTTCACAAACATATAGTAACTTTACTTAAAGTAAAAAATCATAAATATATACTTGTTTTTTCTGGGGAGCTTGGTGCAGTGGCAGTTAGTGGTATCGTTATAGACATCAATGGCCGGTATATTGATTTTTTTATTTTTTTTATTTTTTTTATTTTTTATCACAACCATAGTGTATCTTTTTTTTTTTTTTTTTTTTTTTACATGTATTCCCCATCCCGGTCCCCCCTCCCACCTCCCTCTCCACCCAATCCCTCTGGGTCTTCCCAGTGCACCAGGCCCGAGCACTTGTCTCATGCACCCAACCTGGGCTGGTGAACTGTTTCAGCCTAGATAATATACGTGTTTCAATGCTGTTCTCTTGAAACATCCCACCCTCGCCTTCTCCCAGAGTCCACAAGTCTGTTCTATACATAGGAGTCTCTTTTTCTGTTTTGCACATAGGGTTATCGTTACCATCTTCTAAATTCCATATATATGTGTTAGTATACTGTAATGGTCTTTTTTAAAATGAACTGTCATTTTATAGCTCAGCTGAATGATTCAAATATTTAATGATCTCAGAATTTGAAATATATTGCTGTCCTCCTATCTAGACCTGATGTTGAATATTCTTTATCTTCCTACAACATTCTCTTTTTTAAAAAATTGATTTATTCATGTGAGAAATTGGTGGGAAAGATCTTTATATCATGACAAGATATAAAAAAGGTTTGAAAGTTTTGAAGCATTTTAAGAAAAAAGATTGAAGATCAAGTTACGCCTTTCAAATTAAACCTTTTTTAAAGTAGCTTTTTCTTTTGTGCATCTAAACAGTAGAATGATATTTCTATAGAAAGAGAATTAATTTCAAGTGCAAATATAATACTAAGGCTTCAATGATGAAAGAGCTATTATTGAAGGCAGATAGTAGAGGGAGGCAAGGAGGTGAAGATTTCAAAAAAGAGATTAGAAAGAAAATCTTTGAAGTGTTTGGAGAATTGATAAATCAAAAAAGTTCTCACTAAGTGTTAGTATGTGCTAGGATCAGCGCTGGGATGTAGAAATAAAGAACTGAGTCTGGGAGGAAAGTCAGGCCCTGTTGAACCAGGTTCCATCTGGATTTCATAGATGGGCTCACCAATGATAAAAAGTGTCGCCAGCCGAGTGTCTGTGGGCCTGTGTGGATCTGTCAGTGGTCCCAGTCTCTGCTCTGCGTGGGCGGCTCCCTTCCCCCAGACTCACCGGCCTCCGCCCTCTGCGTTCTAGGAGAGACAGCGTCTGGAGACCATCCTCAGTCTCTGCGCCGAGTTCGCGAAGCCTGGCAGCCGCGCGGCCCCCGGCACCACCGTGGCAGACGTGCAGAAGATCAACGAGGAGCTGGAGAGGCTGCAGCTCTCCGACGAGGAGTCTGTGTTTGAGGAGGCCCTGGTGGGCCCGGACACCCGGCTCCGGCGCCACCCGAGAAGCGCTCTCCGCGACGCGGACCTGGCCGGCGCGGGGGGCCTCGGCCAGAGCAGCGCCGGCTTCCTGCCCCCGCGGGGCGCCAGGAGTGACGAGCTGCTCAGGGGCCTCACCCGGACTCCCCCGCCGCCCTCCTCTGCCTTTCAGAAAGCTTCCGGCGAGTCTGCTTACCTAAGTATCCTGCCAAAGGTAAAGCCGCCACACACAGGGATCAGATGCGGGGCTGGGACCGCGCATCTGCCCTGGCCTCGACTTCAGGGGTCATCTGCCCTGGCCTCGACTTCAGGGGTCATCTGCCCTGGCCTCGACATCAGGGGTCTTACTGCTTGTTTTCCAGAATGCTTTCAGTGAAGCAGCTACTCTGGTGGCTCAGACAGGCAAGAATCTGCCTGCCATGCAGGAGAACCAGGTCCAATTCCTGGATGGGGAAGAGGAGGAGGAAATGGCAGTCCACTCCAGTATTCTTGCCTGGGAAATTCCATGGTCAGAGGGACCTGGTGGGCCACAGGCCACGGGGGTCGCAAAGAGTCAGACACGACTGAGCGACTAACACTAGCTAAACAAGGTGCAGCAAATTCTAGTGTCTATTATAAAGTAGCAGATTTAGACTCCAGAAAGTGTACCAGTACAGAAAGAGAAGGAGAGGCAGCGTGACTTCTCCCCGCCCCCTCTGGCTGCACACCTGAGGGGTAAACACAGGGTCTTACCTGCCTTCCCAGTATTTCTGTGCACAGGTGGCAGTGTAAACATAGACACACAGATACACAAGTGTGGTGTTCTGCACGATGTTTTCCTCCTATTGAACGTCCTGAGCATCTTTGCACGTTACTATACACAGTTCTACCTCATTCCTATTAATGGTATTTTAACCAGTATTTTATTATTTGGAAATACTGTTTAAATTATTACCAATATTTTACTAATAAAATCTATATGCAGCAAATATTCTGGAATATATATATTAGCACAAATTGTGCAAATGTGTCTGTGGAGTTGGTAGGTCAAAGAGTTTGTGTATTATTCATTTTAAACAATATTTCCAAATTATACTCTCAAAGACTGTGTGTATTTCCGGGTGACTCTTGAGAAGAGTTTATTCCTGCACCTTGTTATTCATACACTTGTCAAAGTATGTATCATCAAAATTTTTAATTTGCTAAGTTAGTTATGTTTTAATTTGTGTGCCAATTTAACTGGCAAGAATACTGGAGTGGGTAGCCATTCCCTTCTCCAGAGGATCTTCCCAACCCAGGGCTTGAACCAGGGTCTCCTGCATTGCAGGCGGATTCTTTACTGCCTGAGCCCCCAGGGAAGTCCCCTCCTCACTGGTGACCACTAGCTTATTCTCTTTATCAATAAATCTGTTTCTGTTTTGTTATGTTTATTTTTCTAGGTTCCACATGCAAGTGCTAATATGCAGTATTTGTCTTCCTCTGGCTGACTTATCTCACTAAACATAATATCCTCCAGGCCCATCCATGTTGTTGCAGATAGGAACTTTTCATTCTTTTTTATGAATAATGTCTCATTGCCCATGTTTCACATCCTCTTTAACCATTCATCTGCTACACAAATGCTACACATATTTCCTACACAAAGGTTGCTTTCATTCCTTGGCTATTATAAACAGTGTTGCTATAAACATTGAGGTGCATATATCTTTTCATATTACTGTTTTTTGTTTTCTTCAGATATATACCCAGGATTAGGACTTTCTGGATCATATGGTGGTTCTGTTTCAGTTTTTTTGAGAAAGCTCCCTGCTGTTTTCCATAGTGGTTTACCGGTTTACATCCCCACCCATAGCGTGCTAAGGTTCCCTTTGCTCGACACCCTCACCTGCATATGTTACCTGTGAACTTTTGATGATAGCCGCTCTGAGAGGTGTGAGGCGGCCTCGCTGTGGCTGTGAGTTGCACTGTTCTGCTGCTCTGAGAGGTGTGAGGCGGCCTCGCTGTGGCTGTGAGTTGCACTATTCTGCCGCTCTGAGAGGTGTGAGGCGGCCTCGCTGTGGCTGCGATTTGCACTATTCTGCCGCTCTGAGAGGTGTGAGGCGGCCTCGCTGTGGCTGTGAGTTGCACTGTTCTGCTCTGAGAGGTGTGAGGCGGCCTCGCTGTGGCTGTGAGTTGCACTATTCTGCCGCTCTGAGAGGTGTGAGGCGGCCTCGCTGTGGCTGTGATTTGCACTATTTTGCTGCTCTGAGAGGTGTGAGGCGGCCTCGCTGTGGCTGCGATTTGCACTATTCTGCCGCTCTGAGAGGTGTGAGGCGGCCTCGCTGTGGCTGCGATTTGCACTATTCTGCTGCTCTGACAGGTGTGAGGCGGCCTCGCTGTGGCTGCGATTTGCACTGTTCTGCCGCTCTGACAGGTGTGAGGCGGCCTCGCTGTGGCTGTGATTTGCACTATTCTGCCGCTCTGAGAGGTGTGAGGCGGCCTCGCTGTGGCTGCGATTTGCACTATTCTGCTGCTCTGACAGGTGTGAGGCGGCCTCGCTGTGGCTGTGAGTTGCACTGTTCTGCTCTGAGAGGTGTGAGGCGGCCTCGCTGTGGCTGTGAGTTGCACTGTTCTGCCGCTCTGAGAGGTGTGAGGTGGCCTCGCTGTGGCTGTGAGTTGCACTGTTCTGCCGCTCTGAGAGGTGTGAGGCGGCCTCGCTGTGGCTGTGAGTTGCACTGTTCTGCTCTGAGAGGTGTGAGGCGGCCTCGCTGTGGCTGTGAGTTGCACTGTTCTGCCGCTCTGAGAGGTGTGAGGCGGCCTCGCTGTGGCTGTGAGTTGCACTGTTCTGCTCTGAGAGGTGTGAGGCGGCCTCGCTGTGGCTGTGAGTTGCACTGTTCTGCCGCTCTGAGAGGTGTGAGGCGGCCTCGCTGTGGCTGTGAGTTGCACTGTTCTGCCGCTCTGAGAGGTGTGAGGCGGCCTCGCTGTGGCTGTGATTTGCACTATTCTGCTCTGAGAGGTGTGAGGCGGCCTCGCTGTGGCTGTGATTTGCACTGTTCTGCCGCTCTGAGAGGTGTGAGGCGGCCTCGCTGTGGCTGTGATTTGCACTGTTCTGCCGCTCTGAGAGGTGTGAGGCGGCCTCGCTGTGGCTGCGATTTGCACTGTTCTGCCGCTCTGACAGGTGTGAGGCGGCCTCACTGTGGCTGCGATTTGCACTGTTCTGCCGCTCTGACAGGTGTGAGGCGGCCTCGCTGTGGCTGTGATTTGCACTATTCTGCTCTGACAGGTGTGAGGCAGCCTCGCTGTGGCTGTGATTTGCACTGTTCTGCTGCTCTGAGAGGTGTGAGGCGGCCTCGCTGTGGCTGTGATTTGCACTATTCTGCTCTGAGAGGTGTGAGGCGGCCTCGCTGTGGCTGTGATTTGCACTGTTCTGCCGCTCTGAGAGGTGTGAGGCGGCCTCGCTGTGGCTGTGATTTGCACTATTCTGCTCTGAGAGGTGTGAGGCGGCCTCGCTGTGGCTGTGATTTGCACTATTCTGCTGCTCTGAGAGGTGTGAGGCGGCCTCCCTGTGGCTGTGATTTGCACTATTCTGCTGCTCTGAGAGGTGTGAGGCGGCCTCTCTGTGGCTGCGATTTGCACCATTCTGCTCTGAGAGGTGTGAGGCGGCCTCGCTGTGGCTGCGATTTGCACTGTTCTGCTGCTCTGAGAGGTGTGAGGCGGCCTCGCTGTGGCTGTGAGTTGCACTGTTCTGCCGCTCTGAGAGGTGTGAGGCGGCCTCGCTGTGGCTGTGATTTGCACTGTTCTGCCGCTCTGAGAGGTGTGAAGCGGCCTCGCTGTGGCTGTGAGTTGCACTGTTCTGCCGCTCTGAGAGGTGTGAGGCGGCCTCGCTGTGGCTGTGATTTGCACTGTTCTGCCGCTCTGAGAGGTGTGAGGCGGCCTCTCTGTGGCTGTGATTTGCACTGTTCTGCTGCTCTGAGAGGTGTGAGGCGGCCTCGCTGTGGCTGTGAGTTGCACTGTTCTGCTCTGAGAGGTGTGAGGCGGCCTCGCTGTGGCTGTGATTTGCACTGTTCTGCCGCTCTGAGAGGTGTGAGGCGGCCTCGCTGTGGCTGCGATTTGCACTGTTCTGCCGCTCTGACAGGTGTGAGGCGGCCTCACTGTGGCTGCGATTTGCACTGTTCTGCCGCTCTGACAGGTGTGAGGCGGCCTCACTGTGGCTGTGATTTGCACTGTTCTGCTGCTCTGAGAGGTGTGAGGCGGCCTCGCTGTGGCTGTGATTTGCACTATTCTGCTCTGAGAGGTGTGAGGCAGCCTCGCTGTGGCTGTGATTTGCACTGTTCTGCTGCTCTGAGAGGTGTGAGGCGGCCTCGCTGTGGCTGTGATTTGCACTATTCTGCTCTGAGAGGTGTGAGGCGGCCTCGCTGTGGCTGTGATTTGCACTGTTCTGCCGCTCTGAGAGGTGTGAGGCGGCCTCGCTGTGGCTGTGATTTGCACTATTCTGCTCTGAGAGGTGTGAGGCGGCCTCGCTGTGGCTGTGATTTGCACTATTCTGCTGCTCTGAGAGGTGTGAGGCGGCCTCCCTGTGGCTGTGATTTGCACTATTCTGCTGCTCTGAGAGGTGTGAGGCGGCCTCTCTGTGGCTGCGATTTGCACCATTCTGCTCTGAGAGGTGTGAGGCGGCCTCGCTGTGGCTGTGAGTTGCACTGTTCTGCCGCTCTGAGAGGTGTGAGGCGGCCTCGCTGTGGCTGTGATTTGCACTGTTCTGCCGCTCTGAGAGGTGTGAAGCGGCCTCGCTGTGGCTGTGAGTTGCACTGTTCTGCCGCTCTGAGAGGTGTGAGGCGGCCTCGCTGTGGCTGTGATTTGCACTGTTCTGCCGCTCTGAGAGGTGTGAGGCGGCCTCTCTGTGGCTGTGATTTGCACTGTTCTGCTGCTCTGAGAGGTGTGAGGCGGCCTCGCTGTGGCTGTGAGTTGCACTGTTCTGCCGCTCTGAGAGGTGTGAGGCGGCCTCGCTGTGGCTGTGATTTGCACTATTCTGCTCTGAGAGGTGTGAGGCGGCCTCGCTGTGGCTGTGATTTGCACTGTTCTGCCGCTCTGAGAGGTGTGAGGCGGCCTTGCTGTGGCTGTGATTTGCACTGTTCTGCCGCTCTGACAGGTGTGAGGCGGCCTCGCTGTGGCTGCGATTTGCACTGTTCTGCCGCTCTGACAGGTGTGAGGCGGCCTCACTGTGGCTGTGATTTGCACTGTTCTGCTGCTCTGAGAGGT